ATTCAACAAACACTTTTTTTTTGGAGGGGGCAGCAATTGAGGTTAAGTGACTTGCCCAGGGTCACACAGCTAATAAGTATCTGAGGCCAGATTTGAGTTCAGGTCCTCATGACTCCAGGTCCTGCACTCTATCCATCTAGTTGCCCCCCCCCCTTTTTGTCAACAAACACTTCTTAAAAACCCACCAGGTGTAATGAGAGGCAGTGTGGCCTAGTGGATAAATAGCTGGCTTTGGAGTCAGGAATAACTGAGTTTAAGCCCCACCTCTGACATTTACCATCTGTTACCCTGGATAAGTCATAATCTGTCAGATAATTCTCCAAGATGATAAATTGCAAGAATCTGCAACCTGTATAGATAGAGAGAGTTCCCTATATCAATGAAATCAAGTCTAGTCCCTATCCCTATATGCAATGCATTGAGCAAACTATGAAATAAAACCCAACCTCTATACTCAAGGGGCTTTTAGTCTAGTAGGAATAAAGAGATTGGCATGCAAATAAATAAAACTCTTTAGAATATCTACATGACCTTGGGAAAATCACTTAACCCCTCTGGGCTTCTGTAACATAAGCCTTCTGGACTAGCTGACCCACCTTCCAAGTTTAAATCTATGTTCCTATAAGCGAGGATGAGAAATAGTAGTGTTGCAGATAAGATGAGGGAAAGAATGCTTTTCCACTAGGGGAAGCAGAGAACGGAAGAAGTAGCATTAAAATTAGCCTTACAAGTGGGAATGGAACATGGGAACATAGGAATGGAACAGGGATGGAGATTTCAAGCTCAGCAATGGTACAGAGGTGAAAAAATATGAGATGAATTTTTAGGAAAACCCTCTTACTTTTAAGCCTTGGTGTTGACATAGGAAAGGTTAAGATGTAAGATCAAGTAGCAGATATTTCTAAACAGTGATCATGGGGACCCATCAATCCGTCATCTCTGATGCAGACCACTTCCAAATAGGTATCTAAAGCCCTAACCTCTCCCTTTCTCTCTGCTGCTTCCTGGTTAGGGTATCTCTATGTGGGTGTCTTGTCACTATCTCACACTTAAAATGTTTAAAGATGAATTCCTTACCCTGCCCCCCTTTACATATGATTTTTCCTCTTATTTATTTATTTTTTATTTATTTATTTATTTTTATTCTTTCATATAGCACCACCATAGGATTTACAGGACCACAAGACTGAGAGCCGGCAAGGACCTTTGAGATTATTTAGCTCAACCCTTTCACTTTACAGTCACCCCGGCTTGAAACCTCTGAGTTATCTTTGGCTCTTCCCTCTCTGTCACACCCACCCCCTCTCCATCCAATCAGCTGCTAAGTCCCACTGATTCTGGTTCTCTAGTATCTCTCCCATCTGCCTCCTACTTCACATTCCCATGCTAACATCCCAGTTCAGGTCCTCATTACCTATCTCTTAGACTATTGTAAAAGTCTCTTAACTGGCCTCCCTGCCTCCAGCCTCTCTCCATCTCCATTCTATCCTTCATAGTGCTGGCAGAATTATATGTTCCTCCTCATTGCTTTTCATTCTGAAAAATACACAAACCCCATTAATCTAGCCTTTCCCACTCCAAAATCTACCTTTCCCCATTTGTTGTGCACCATTCTCCCTTCACACACTCTAGGTTCCAGTAAAACTAGACAATTTGCCGTTTCTGGTCTTGCCTTGCTCAAACCCACCTTCATGTTTTCATAAGGTTGTCCCTGACCTCTAATCTTTGCCCTTTTGAAAAATAGAATGAGCAGCTAGGTGGTGAAGTGGACAGAGCACTGGCCCTGGAGTCAGAAGGACTTGAGTTCAAATATGATCTCAGATATTTATTGTCTTTGTGACCCTGGGCAAGTCACTTAACCCAGATTGTCTCAAAAAACAAACAAACAAACAAAAAACAAAAACCACCAAAAAAAACCTGCTTATAGGATCATGTCTTTACATATGCTGTTCCAAAAAAACCAAACTCCTCATAAGGTCATATCTTTGCATATGTTGTTCTTGACTCTTAAACTCTTCGCTTTTGAAAAATCTTCATAGGATTATAGATTTAGAGCCAGAAGAGACCTCAGAGGTCCTTTAGTCCAACTCCTTCATTGCACAGATGAAGAAAATGAGTATAGTGAATCAAAGTGACTAGGTCACATCTATAGTAAATACCAGATTTCTATCTGAACCAAGATTCTCTGATTCAAGCAATAGTGCTAAAAATTTCTTCCATGTCATAAGGCTTCCCTTCTTCCTTTGAAGCCCAGTTTAGGTGTCCCTTTCTCCATGAAGCCTTCTTTGATTTTCCTAACTGTAAATGATTTTTGTCTTCTTAAATCTCTCCCACCACTCTTTGTTAAGACCTCTCCTATATACTTTTATATTATAACTTGCATCATGGCCATTTATGATTTATTATTATAATTATTTAATCATCTCTATTCAGAGGCTATCTGCAATCTCCTAATTTTACAGATGAGGAAACTGAGGGGTGAGATTTTAACCCACAGCCTCTGACTCCACAGCTTGTGTTCTTTCCACTGAACCATTCTAGACTGTAAACTTCTTGAAAGCAAATACTGCCTCAGGTTCCATTTTTTTATTCCCAACAATGAACTTCAGGGTTTGAGAGGAACTAGGCTTTTATTGCTATGGGTTCTGTCTTCACTAAAGCAGAGCACGAGTCTTCTGCACCTTAATAGGCAGTCTTTTCGAGTTGCTGTTGCTAAAACAAAAACCACAAAAACCCCTCCAGCATCTAGTGGCCCATTTGTTGGTGATGATGCTCTCTTAATCTAGCTAGCATTTCTGTTCAGATAACAGATACAGAGGCTGTTGCTGGGTTTTGCAGTCAAGTAGGATTTGTCATAGGTTCTTTTCTGTTGTTTGTAACTGTCAAGGTCATCACTTGGCCATGATTAAACCACAGGGTGAGGATTACTGTGGAGGGGCTGCAGAGTGCAGGCACTTAAAATTGTTGGTGATTTTGGAATTTGTTTGGGTACCATATTCCAGCCATAGTATATTTATGGACATATTAGGTACTCAATAACTTTGGAATAAAGAACTATTTAGTGAGAAGCAGGGTGATCAGCAAGAAAAAGAAAGACAGAGAGACACACAGAGAGACAGAGAAAGTCAGAGAGAGAGAGACAGTCAGAGAGACAGAGAGACAGGGGGGA